GCTTCTACAGGATTTGGTAAACTTTCTCCCCGTCATCTAATAAAGCAGTTTCAAAGCAAAATCCATGGGTAAATATAAGTCAATGAAAAAGAAAATGCAATTCATTGGGGAACGGGTTAAATGATGAATCATCCCCCTATTAAGAAACCAAAGTAATAATAAGCATACAAAAATAAAAGGAGAAGGAAAGGCAATTCTAGGCCGATGGGAAAATGAAAAAAGCATTTCCCAAAAAAAAAGATGGGACCTTTTATCGAAGGTTGGAAAATTCCATTCGTATTCGACACATTCTTCCTCAAGTCTTCCATTTCCGACATCGAGAAGCTGCCTTCGAAGGTTGGGATCGATGTCGGAAATGAAAGCCTTGACAAAGAATGTGTTGAATACGAATAAAACTTTCCAACCTTCAATAAAAGGTCCCATCCTTTTTTCGGGAAAATTCTTTTTTCATTGTCCCATCAGCCTAGAATTGCCTTTCCTTCTCCTTTTGATTTTCGTATCATTATTATTACTTTGGTTTCTTAATAGGGGGATAATTCATCGTCTAACCTGTTCCCACAACGAATTACATTTTCTTTTTCTTTGTTTATTGTTTACCCATGGATTTCTTTTTGAAACTGTTTTATTACATGACAGAGAGAAAGTTTTACCAAATCCTGCACAGGATCAGGCTCAACCCGCAGACGCACCACGAGTTCTACCAGATCCAGCGGGGGATCAGACTCAACCCGAGGATGCGCCCCCACTCTGCGTGTTCCACGAATTGAAGTCCCTGCCATTTTGAACCCGCCTCTTGTTCAGTCATCCTTGGATCCAGGCAGGCAGAAGGCCAGAGGATTGAGTGCAAGATGGTGCAGGGCCAGCAGCCATGGGGCCTGCCAAGGGCTATTGCTCGTCTTTTGTCGATTGTCTCTGCACCATGTGGTGTGATAGCTTTTAGCAGGGCGCAAATGTAGGAAGGCTCTTTTGAATAGCATCCCTTTCACTTCATGTGAAAGTAGCACAAATTATATAAATAAGTATAAGAAAGAGAAGCATAATGTTATCGTGTTATTGGTTTTGTATGTAAAGCCTCCTGATTTGGAGAAACTAAATAGATTCAAAAATTACGAATAGTAGCCCCGAAAAAATCAATTTTGAACTCGTACTTGATTGGAAAGAACTTTGACCTAGGGACCCTAGATTTATCGGCATAAATCGGTCTAAATATTTATGGTACTTCTGAGTGAGCCCGTTCCCTAAATATTTTAGAAAGCGGAGAAGACAGAAAAAAGCTCAATAATCTTCTCCCTTTGGTAGGCATTAGCAAAAGGGCCTGTGCGTTGCAACGGGAGAAAAAATACAACACGCCCCTAATCCAATAACAATGACTCAAGACCACAATAGGTCCACATCTTTTATTTTAACATGGCATTAGCAAAACAACCTGCTCGTTGCAACAGGAGAGGAAAAATACCACACACTCCTTGTAAGCTGTGGTTGTACGAGAGATAGATTGAGTATATCACAAAGGATTAGTACAAATACAAGGTATGTACGGTATGTTAAAATCCTAAGACATATACAACATGGATTCTAACACCCTCCCTCAATCTTAACCGGCGTCAGGAAGGTTGAGATTGCGTCGACAGATTTCAAACAAGGGAAGTGGCAGCGGCTTGGTAAAGATGTCAGCAAGTTGATCTTTAGACGAGATGAACTTGATCTGTAGTAGAGCTGGGATGTTTCTATTAGATGTCTGATTTAGTAAAATGCTAAGTATCTAAAGCTGGATAAGATATTCAGATTAATTTCGTCTAATTTACTTCTGCATTTCCTTCAATTATTATGTTTCTGAAAGGGTCTTGTTTCAATCATCATTTTCCAGGATATGTAGTCCTATTAAACATCTTAATCGGTTCTTCCAGGATATGCAGTCCTATACCTAAAACATCGGAAAAATCGAGAGGTTTTGAACAAATACACCCCGTATATACCGCAGCTTTTTAAATTTTCTTATTTTTTTCATCCCAGACTTTCTCAAATTCCTTCATCTAGTACACACAAACTAACCCAATGACTCTTTTCCAAACATCACAACATTGGAGAACAAAACCTAAACAAACTCTACATTTACACAACGAAGTGCCCGAAGAAGCACAACATAGCCAGAAACGACATCAAACCTTCAGCGGAACTACAAAGAAATGACTAAATCAGAGGAATGTGTGGAACAGGGAGGGCACGTACATGCTTGCAGGGGACGCCGAGCTTCTTGAGCCGCAGCGTGCGGGTCTCGAGCAGCCTCTGCAGATCGCCGCCTACAGCCTCCTCTCCAACTTGGCGGCGTGCGTCTCCACCCCCTTCCCGACGCCGTTCAAGAACTCCACCACGCCTACCTTGGCTGCGCAAAGGAATTCCAATCCATTTCACCACACCGAACGGCGGAAGAACCACGGAGTTCACGGATCAAGAGGAAAGTGACTGTACCTTGGTAGGGCTGGGCGTAGAAGGATCTCGCCGGAGCTCCGGCGCCGGGGTGGAGGAGGATGCGGCGCACATGGGATGCGCACGCGAAGGCCATGGCCTCCGGGACGCCACGCGCGGGAGGGAGACGCCGGCCTGGGCGATGCCACGCACGCAGGGAGACGTCGGCCTAGGCGGCTTCACGCACGGGAGAGAGGCGCTGTCCTTGGCGCCGCGACGCAGGGGAGGCTGCCGCCGTCCAGTTGATCACTGCCGGAGCAGAGGGGCGGTGGTGCCGCGCGGAGGAGGGACGTGGTGGGATGGGGGGAGCGCCGCCGCACGCGAAGACGGGAAGAGGAGGATGGCTATAGGGTTAATCGGTGGGCCTTCCAGTCGCACAAATAAAGCCCACGGATGCCTCACAGTCCAGCGAAAATGCAATTCTGGAGCCGGGCCGGGCACCTGCTATGCCTAGTTCTTTTTTTGCGTCAAACCGGAGTAACCAACTTTTTTCATTTTCGTTTTCTTTCTTTTTCAATTTTTAAATTTCACGAATTTTTACTTTTTCAAAATCGTGTTTTTTATTAAACATGAACTTTTCCAGATTCTTGAACTTCTATCATATTCGTGAATTATTTTCCTCAAATATGTGAAAATTTAAATTCCGTGAATTTTTTGTCTCAAATTTGTGAACTTGTTTCCTCAAATACCTGAACTTTTCCAAATTCATGATTTTTTCTCAAATTCTTGAACTTTTTAAAATATGTGATTTTCTCAAATTCGTGAACTTTTTTCAAACTTGTGAACTTTTTCCCAAATTCATGAACTTCTTAAAAATTGTGAATTTTTCAAATTCATGAGCTTTTTCAAATCCTACCCCCACCAGACATACCTGGCAACCATCGACTTCCACAACGCGGCCATGCATCCTCTCCCCAACGCAAACAACACTCTCAAGTCTTCCACGCCCCTACGTGGACACTCACGCATCAATGAGTGCATTCATCCTTTTACGCTTGTAAGGCATCTTCAAAGCCCAGTCGTGAGCACCACCGAAAAAGACATCTAAGCCCTTAATTGGGTTTTGGCACCGATGACAGGTGACTTGAGAGATTAATGGTTAACAAGTGTTCAACGAGTAATTAGCTCCAAAGCGTTGAAAGGATTAGGGTTAGAGACCCTCCCAAGCAAAAAGTGAAAAGACGACAATACATTTCAATTTCCCATTATTTCTCATGTATTTGAACTGTAGGAAAAGCTGCGATATTAAGAGGGTGAGATTTCATATTATGATATAATACAAACAAAATCATGACCGTTTTCACTGAAAAAGTTAACCCAAGCCTCGTTACACGAAATTTGCGTACCGCACGTACTAGTGGAAATCGTAGATTAAGGGGTGACACAATGATCTAACCAACAAAGCTCGCAACAACGAAGGAAACGTGCACGACAAAATTACCCAGGTTCAGGTGGCCGAGGTGGGTAACAACCCTACTTCTTGTCTTCGTTGATATAGTGAATACAGATTACAAGAGTATATGATGACTACAGAACCATAAACAGAATAGTTCCTGTACTGATCTACGCTCTCCGCACAATTACCGAAGTAGAGTGCCTCGAACCGATCGTCAAACTCTTGTTGCTTCAGGTGGTACAAATCTCTGTGAGAAGAACTGCTGAGGAAGAGGAATGAAGAATGTGGTCCGGAAATTCAGAGCGTATGTTGAAGCACCACAATTTCCATTTTGTGCCAATCCTCCATTCATTATTAAAGCGCACAAGCAGGAGAGAAAGCGTGACATTCTGACTCCATGAACAAAGCAACTGAACAATACAGAACAACAGCTCCTTGGATAGATTTACTATATGCAGGGATATTACAGGGAGCACAAGCGCTTCAGCTAAACAACATAGACCCTGTCAGACATTGTGCTTCACTTAACAGCGTGCATCCTAGCGATAAACTAACTTTAGCATGCCTTAACTACAGAGTACTCCCTCCGTAAACTATAAGAGTGTTTAGATCACTATTTTAGTGATCTAAACGCTCTTATATTAGTTTACAGAGGGAGTACTTAAGAAGACACAAAACTAAACCCATATATATACAAAAGACTCTGACTGACTGATTGGAGAGGCACAAAGGTCACAGAAAGGTCAACATATGAAGTTGGTGATAACTAACACCAGAGTCATGGAAAATAGGGGTTTTCCTTCTTCTAATATATTGCAAACAACTGCTTCGAGTAATGAAAAGCCATCTTGTGACAGAACTCAGAGCATACCGATCGTACTCTGCTAATTAAGTTAATCTGTTAACTAAATGTGTCACTGATAGTGGGGCCCCACTAGTTGCAAGAACAGGTGATCAACGTATTCTTCTTTACCACGGAACTAACATTAAGTTTCATGACTAGCCTCAACTGTATTTACAGGTTCAATAGCCTAAGTGAGTTCTCTCCTGAATAAATATGGATATGGTGATTGTTCATAAACTCCTTGAAAATTTGACAAACTTATTATCAGTGTTCCAAGCTCCATGTGTTTTAGAGCTAGCTAAGTCCGCGCTGGTCTAGGCTCACCTCCTTCTTCACCACTTGATACTTCAAACCCTTCTTGTCGTCAGTAACTTCAATGCAGATTGTTGAGCCTTCACTGGCTTCTCCCTTGACCAACATCTTGGAAAGCGTTGTCATCACATTCTTTTGCATCCACCTTCTTATGGGTCTTGCACCGTAGGTCTACAAGAGGTGTTGATGCATGGTTACCGAAACATACAAACATGCGGAGAAGAAACAATCTCCGGTCATATGCAAACACGAGGCTTTAAACATGTGATAATTTTGAACAGAAGATATACTTACTGGGTTGTATGATTCCGATAAGATGGTGTCCAACGCGGCATCACTAACAGAAAGAGAGATGCCCTTGGTAGCTACTCTGGCCATAATGCTCTTCATCTGGATTTTCATTATCTCCTTCAGTTTGTCGTGCGAAAGCGGCTCAAATATAACGATCTCACTCAGTCTGTTCAGAAGCTCAGGCTTGAAGTGCTTGCAAACCTATACGAACAAATACATACCATAATTAGCAATTGCTGTTGCAGCTTTCGCAGGGGCTGTCTGGGATTTACAGACCTGTTCCATGAGAAGTTCCCGTGTAGATTCGGTTGTGTTTTTTCTAGCCGTCTTTGATATTAGGTAATCAGATCCAAGATTTGAGGTCATGATGATGATGGTATTCTTGAAATCTACAGTCTGGCCTCTGCCATCAGTCAACCTGCCATCATCAAGGATTTGAAGAAAAATATTGAACACCGAGGGATCTGCCTTCTCCACCTCATCAAAAAGGATGACACTGTACGGGTTCCTCCTAACTTTCTCAGTCAGTTGTCCACCATCCTCATGGCCACGATAGCTTTAAAGATGTTAAAAGAGACCAGTCAGACTTCAGATTAAGACTAGGTACAATAAGATAATGAAATGCTAAGAAAATAAGAAAAGAGCACACAGTATGCGAATTAAACCTTGGAGGTGCTCCAACGAGACGCAACACAGAACTACTCCCGACATATTCAGACATGTCAAAGCGAACCAACATCTTCTCGCTATCAAATAGCTGCTCGGCAAGAGCTTTTGCGAGTTCTGTCTTTCCAACACCAGTTGAGCCCAAGAAGAGGAAAGAGCCTATGGGCTGGCCAGGATGATCAAGGCCAGCTCTAGAACGTAACACTGCATCTGCAACTAGGTTGACGGCTTCATCCTGGCCAACAACTCGCTCATGCAGTCTGTCCGCTAGGCAGATTAACTTATCCTTCTCCTCTTGATTAAGTGCGGTGACGGGAATTCCAGTCCATCGGCTCACAACCTTCAAATAACAACATAGGAACATTCATGGAAAGCATGACTCGTCGATCACAACAATAGACACAAATATCATTAAGAAAAGAATGCCTACTTGTGCGACATGATCTGGGGTGATAATTGCTTCCTTCCTTGCATTTGCAGAGCTACTTTTTTTAGTGTTCACTTCCGCCTTTTGGCGGTTAATCTGCCTCATCTTTTTGCTTGCAGTGGCGCATGCCTCGTCAATTAGATCAATTGCCTTGTCAGGAAACTGACGACCTGCAGTACAGATAGAAATAACATCCATCAATTTTCTCCAGCATATACATTCTTGCCGCTAATGGATGCATTGATGTACCCAATGCAACAAGGGTGCTCCAATGTGATTATCCTCTCCCTTGAATTGTACAGCACAACTTCATGTAAATAGCCTAAATTGGCAAGTAAGCCTCAACAAAGATGAACATCTGAATGTAACAAATTAAGATCATATATACTCCATCTTCTTCCCTTCCATTCTTTTTAATTATACTTCCTAAGTGACTAGGTGGGTGCACATCAATCAAAATGAGTAAAACTGATGGGTTCCTCACCGGTGATATAGCGGCCAGCAAGCTGTGCAGCAGCAACAAGAGCTGCATCCTGGATTTCCAAGCCATGGTGCCGTTCGTGCCGCTTCTTTAGCGCCTGCAGAATCTCAATGGTTGTGTCCATGCTCGGCTCCTCGACCTGCACCTTTTGGAACCGCCGCTCCAGTGCGGCATCCTTCTCGATGTACTTACGGTACTCATCGAAAGTTGTGGCACCCACGCAGCGGATACGGCCACGGGCCAATGCTGGCTTCAGCATGTTGGCAGCATCGTTGGCACTCTTCCTGGAGCGCCCGGCACCAAGAAGCATGTGCATCTCGTCGATGAACAGAATCACCTTGCCGTCCGCGGCCTCCACCTGCTTTATCACATCCTTCATGCGTCTCTCGAAGGAGCCACGCCACTTGGTCCCAGCCACCAATGCTCCGACGTCGAGCTCAATGACGCGCGCGCCGGCAAGAACGTCGGGGACCATCCTGGCGGCAATGCGTTGGGCGAGGGCCTCGGCGACGGCCGTCTTGCCTACCCCTGCAGCGCCGACGAGCGCGACGCAGTTCTTGGTCCGGCGGCAGAGGATGGAGACGACACGGTCAATCTCGTCGTCGCGGCCGATCACCGGATCGGTTTTTCCAGCCGATGCCGTCATGTCCCGGCCGAACTTCAGCAGGCACGCACGGCGTTGGTAGTACCTCCACGCTGCCGAGCCCACAGCAGCGGCTGCCCCAAGGCAGAGGACGGCTTTGGTGTCGCTAGACAGGTTTCCGCCCGAGCGCGGCACAGAGGCTCCCGACCGATCGAAGGCTGCACTCCTTGCCATGCTTGCCATGGCCCTGTCGAAATCCATAACCTGAACAAAGCAAAACACCGGATTGCTCCATACATTACATCTTGTCTACATGAAAGACCACAAGTACTACTTGTCTTACAGGGATTAAACTTTGTTTTTGCATGCGGTGTGGAGTTCTGAAACTGATTTAAC